AAGTGTCACCACTGACTGGTAGCCCCTGTGGTTGCCGTGAATAACTCCATTTTGTTTCCTATACTCTATGCCGTCTTGGCCGGACCCACGCCATTTCACTGGTCCTGCTTTCCACGGCAGGTTCAGCCTGCACCCCCCGCCCCCTCCCCTATGGATGCACTTGTGTCGCCCGGGAATTTCTGTCCCCCCCCACCGTGTCCCTCTGCGGCACGCTCCTCAGCAGCAGGGACCCTGCGGCTGCCTGGCTGTGCACCCTCGTTTGGCCCACTCTGCCTGTGCCACCGTCCCCCTGACCCTCGTCACCATCCCTCCAAAGTGAGGCACAGCACAAGCCCCTCATGTCCGTGACCAGTAGTTGTCTTAAGAAACGGCACGTAAGCAAACCCCTCATCCGGCATAAACTGAAAAGTTGCCTTTCCCATCCTGTGCTTCTTGGAATAATGGTCTACAAGGGCATTGTGAGGTCAGGAACGAGACAGATGTTCCGTTCTTCCCCGTGAGTTCGGACCACACGCCTGGAAAAGGCCCATCCAGGCAAGGGTGGGGAGGGCAGGAGCGCATGCCGGTACTCACCGCACGGCCGTCTGGTCTACCTGGCTCATGCCACCGAGGCGAGCGGTTGGCTGGCTCAAGGCCACGGCTCCTAGTGGTGAAGCCGCAGGCCAGTGCTCACGTTCCTCCTCCGGCGGCTCCCCCACCCCCCCACCCCCACCCACACCCCCTCTCTCCAGACGCAGCGCCTGCCAGCGCGGTCGGCCCTGTGAAGTCACCAGCCCCTGGCTCCCCGGTGTCTGGGGCCACTGGCCTGGCGGGCTGTGCGGCTGCCAGGAGCCAGTCTGCTCCCCACGGAGCCTGTTCCCTCGCCCTGGCCGCTGCCCGGGAAGAATCGAGGGCATTGTCCCTCCTTGACGGCTGTCCTGAACGAAGTCCTTAAGGAGCAGAAGAGGGAGGGGAGCCTTCTCTGGAGAACACAATGGGAAACCTGTCCGTCCTTCTGGGCCGTGGGAAAGTCCCCGGATTGGGGCAGATCTGTCTCCTTTCCCCTGGAGGCGAGGCCGGGGCTTCCCCTGTTCCTGGGACGCCACCGCCCCCAGCCTCAGCGATCTGCTCTCTGAGGCCTCCTGCCTGGGGCGCGCACTCGGCTCTCAGGTGCTTATCGGGCGATACTGTCGACCAGAGTCTGGATTTCGGGGCCACAAGAATCCCCGGCTCTGGGAAGGGAGCAGAGGGGAGGCAGGAAGGCCAGGCAGGAGGTGTCTTTGAACTTGGAAAGATTTCGGTGAGAGGATCCTTTTTCAGGGCCATGGAGCATCGTTCTGTCCCACCAGAAACAAATCATCCCCCCGCCGCCGCCAGCATGAGAAGCCCACCTTATCCCCTCGGCATCCCGGGCGGTCCAGGCGGTGCGTCTTCGGCCCCCGGCTTCTCTCTGGCCCTCGTCGGGACTGGGCTGGCATCGCCGCGGCGGCACCACATGGGCACAGCCTACCGGGCTGCGCTGCGGGAGAAGCAGACACTGCGGGCCGTGGTGTGAAGGGCCCGCCAGGGGGCAAGCCGCTGAGTCCCGGGCTCTTTAGCTGTTTCCACTTGAGGGACTGACGTTCCATGCCCCCAGAACGAGCCGGGGCTCCCGCTGGCTGCGAGTGTCCCTCACACGGCGGTGTCCGGGCTGGGACCCAGCAGAACGTCCTCAGTGGGACGGCCTGTCGGGGCGGGCGGGGGGCCGTGGGGGAGAGCAGGCAGGAGGCGCTCAGATGCCGTGTGAGCCGGCCTCTAGCTCAGAAGCACAACCGTGGTCGCAGAAAAGCGGTTTTCGGAGCAGATCATGCATGTCCGTGGCATGCAAGCTGGAAACTGGAAAGGCCGGGCCTTGGAAGTCTTCTCCACCAGCTGCTCCCGCACCCGGTGACGGCGCTTGCGGACCCTTGCAGCGGCACTCGGGCGAGTGCAGGCACTCCGGGCCCACGTGCGTGGTGCCGTTCCGTGCAGATGGCTGCGCGGGCCGCTTTTTCACGTGCCACCGCGCCACGGACACGAGTCACGGGGCTCGTCGCGCCCCGGGGCAGAATCGCAGCCGTCCGTGCGGGCGGGCCGGAGGTGTCGAACCTCTGCCTGAGAGCCGGCCTCCCTGCCTCCAAAGCAGCGTGGGGAGGACCGGCGCCCTCGCTGGCCACGCAGCGTCCCCAGGCAGGCGCGTCTGCGTGGTCGGGCGTGTGTGTGTGCGCCGCTTTGATCGGATTTTCCCGAAGTGCCGCGGCACAGGCACCTCCTTCCAGACTCCGGGCCTCTGCAGAGTCCTCCGTGGGCGCGGCGGGGGCCAGAAAGCGGGGGCACGGGCCAATGGAGGGGCTGGTTTAGGCTGTGCCTGGCGTGGGGCCAATGTGGGTGCTCTGCACTGTTGCTCGGGGCGCTGGAGGTCCCTGGGGCCAGGCCCTTCCCCCCAACGTGAGGAACCGACACCCCCTGGACAGTCCCTGCCCAGGGGACCTCCAGGGCTGCTAGGGTGTGGGTGCCCCTTAGACGGCTCCCACCGCGTCCCACTCCATTCCGCACCCCTGCCCGGCCTCTGCCCCGCCCCCAGAGCCAAGCCTGTGTCCTCGGCCAGAGTGAGAGCTGGGAGCAGGGACCGTGCAGCGTTCTCTGCTCCACTGTGACGCTGGGCACTAGCCCGTCCGAGGTGAGGAGCCAGGCCGGCGCCCCTGCTGAGGACTCTCCCTGGGAGGACCCTTCACCCACCTGCCATCCCCCCCCGGGGGGCCCGAGGCCAGCGAGGTGCCCAGGCCCCACGAGCGAACCTGCACAGGAGTCCCCGCTCCTGGTCCCCAGCCCAAGCTCCAGCAGCTGGGCCACCCCCCTGAGCCTTGGCTGGCGCCCTCATTCCTCACCCTCCTGGGGGCGTCTCTGGGGAGCACTGGTGCCATGAGGACGCGGGCGCCTGGCCCGGAGAAGGGCTGGGAGCTGGGCCAGGGGCCTCCTCCGTCGGCCGGCCTGCCGGAGCGGCTGCGCCGTCCCCTTCCCTCCCGCGCTCGGTCCTCGCTCTCCTTCCCCCCGCCCCGCCCTGACCCCCCAGCCCCCCCTGCAGCCCCACCTCAAAGCAGACCTTGCTTCTCAAGACCTCCGGGGAAACCTTGCATCCACAAAGCACCGGGGGCCTTGCTGGAGGAGGCCTATCCTCACTGAAGTGCCGAGATGCACGGAGGCGCGGCGGAGAGCAGTCTGTGTCCTGCTTGCGCAGGGGCTGCTCCAGAGGCCGGCCTGGGGCTTGGGGACCGCGAGTCCCACGGGGTGCGACTTGGTGGTGTGGGGAGGTGCCCCGGACGGGGACACCTGGACGTGTCTCCGTGGTTACTTCCACCCCGGAGACACACACCCGAGCCTTCCCCTTTCCCCGCTCCCTCCTGGCTCCTCGCTCCTCGCCGGTGGGTGGCTGGTGCGCATTTCCCCAGCCCCTCCCCTGACCCAGGGCAGCACGCGGCACAGGGGGCTCAGCCAAGGGGCCCGGGCCGTGGCTCTGTGGGCTGACCAGTCCTTGTCTAGGTCAGAAGCAGCCAGCCGGTGGCCTTGGCCGTGTCCCTCGGTATCTGGGCTCTGACTCGCCTGATGGAAACATTCTAAACAACACGTTGAACATGAAAATTCCGTTCAGTCACCTAGAAATCAGGGGAGACCAGACCCACACCCCAGCTCTGCTTCTCTCGGAAGACACGTCAGCACCGGGCAGCGTCACTGGGTGTCAGGGTCCCGAGGCCGCCGTGGCCACGCGCCGCACACCGGTGGCTTCAGACAGCAGGACAGCTGGACCCTGCAGCCCGGGGGCCGGCAGGGCCGCCTCCCTCCCCGACCCTGGGTCCGCTCCTCCCTGGCCTCCCGCAGCCGCGGGTGGCTGGTCGCCCCTGGGCCTGTAGGCACCTCGCTCCAGCCCCTGCCTCTGCCATCACGGGGCCTTCCCCTCCGTGTGTGTCTCTGTGTCCTGTCCCCTCAGGAGGACACTGGTCACACCGGGTGAAGAAGGACCCACCCTACTCCAGTATGACCTCATCCGACCTCGTATGACTGGGCGCTGGGGGTAGGACTTCAGGGCATCTCTTCAGGGGACGCAGTTCACCCCAGAAGGGCAGGTTCATGTCCCCAGTACCCCCCCCACCCCCGATCCGGTTCCTGCCCATCTGCATCCTCACTTTGCAAGGCCCCTTCCCAGTCCAGCCCCCCCCATACAGGCCCCCCCCCCCGCCTAGCACCCACCTTCACGGTACGCCCTCACTCCGCCGACTGACTCCCAGGGGCCGCATTTGCTGCGTGCATCAGGGCAGTAACGCCGCGTCCTTTCCTCTGGTCCTCGGGGACTGTCGTCCCATGGTGTCTGCAACTCCGACCTCAGTCCCTGTTGACTCCTTCGTGGACTCCCCCAGGTCTCGCCTCAGGCGGCAGGGGACGCGGGGCAGGTGCCCCCCACCCGGGTCAAGCGGGGTTTGACTGAGCGGGGGAGAGCAGCGTCTGCTGTGCGCGTGTGTGAGAGACCTTCCCCCAGACGGCCCCTGCACTGTCTGCGCACCCCCCTCCCCCCCGGAAGGGGACCCCACCCGTGGCTCAGGTTGGAGGACGAAGCCCTGGCTGGTGTGGCTCAGTGGACAGAGCGGGGCCTGCGAACCACAGGGTCGCTGGTTTGATTCCCAGTCAGGGCACAAGCCTGGGTTGTGGGTCAGGTTCCCAGTAGGGGGCGTGTGAGAGGCAACCACACACTGATGTTTCTCTGCATCTCTTTCTCCTTCCCTTCCCTGTCTGTAAAAATAAAGTCTTAAAAAAAGAGAGAGGGAGAAAAGTTGGATGACGAGGGGAGTTCTGGGCACAGCTCATTCTAAGGGATCAGACATCAGTTTGTAAAAGCTTGTTCCAATATTTGGAATTCCGTCGTTTCATTCTCGCCACCTTGAGATTGGGGCCCTTGGGCGTGGGGGGACCCGTGGGCCCCGGACTGACGACCCCTGTGGTCTCCCCCGCAGCCTCCGGCCTCTCGTCCTCGCCCTCGACGCCCACCCAAGTGACCAAGCAGCACTCGTTCCCGCTCGAGTCCTACAAGCAGGAGCCCGAGCGCCTGGAGAACCGCACCTATGCCTCCTGCTCCCCTCCGGACTCGGGCCAGCGCTTCTGCCCGTCCTCCTTCCAGAGCGCGGCCCGGCCCCCCGCGGCCTCGCCCGCGCACCACGCTCCCTCCAGAACCGTAAGTCCAGGCCTCGTCCCGGGGCCGGCGGCCGGGCGGCGGTGGGAGTCCCCTGGAAAGTGGCAACACCTGGAACTTGACCAGAAACGGGGTTTTTTTGGTTCCCTCGGCTTCTTTTTGAAAATCGGCCATTAAAAGTTTCCTTTGAATGGATCTTGAGGGGGAGAGACTCCAGTAACAAGTCACAGGCAAGGCAAAGGAAAAGCTTCTTAAAAATAGGAATTTGATCCGAGAGCTTTTAGCTTCTAAGTCTGATGCCGGACACGGCGTTGGCTGGGAGCATTCTTGAGAGGAGCCTTTCCAAGCGGAGTGGGGGCGGAGCAGCTGCCTTTGCTCCTCCTGAGAAGCAGCCCGTGGGGCTCCTGGGGAGGCCCTCTCCTGTTCCCGCTCCCCGCCGGGCCCTGGGCGTGCTCGCTGGACTCCGCCCCTCCCTGCCGCCCCGTCCTCCCGTGCTGGGCGCCGAGGATGCTCAGCGTGAGGTCTGTGCCCGGCCAGCATGCGAGAAGCATGCCCCTGAGCTCGATCTGCACAGACGTAGCTATTCTATTACGTTGTTTTCACTTCCTGGGGCTGGTGGGGCCAAGTGGCGCACACTGGGGACCCTGCACCACAGGAAGCTGCCGCGTCCCAGCGCTGGAGGCTGGGAGTCTGACGCCCAGGGGTTGGCGGGGCCGGGCTCCACCCGGGGCCTCTCGGGGAGGGTCCTGCCTTGTCTTGCCCAGCCTCACGGGGCCCCAGGCTCTCCTCGGTTTGGGGCAGTGGCCCCCCCAGCCGCCTCTGCCTCCCCTCCCCCCCCGTACACGCCTGTGTCCCCTCTCTCTGCGTTTGTCCGGGGCCACGGTTCCCTCCTCTTCCACGGACACCGGCCCCGTTGGGTCGGGGCCCAGCCTGACTCAGGATGGCCTCGTCTTAACTTGGTGACACCTGCAGAGACTTCATCTGCGAATAAGGTCACATTCACAGGTATCAGGGGTTAGGACCGCCACGTCACTTTTTGGGGGGGACACAGTCCAACCAGGACGGCTGTCACGTTGGGGAGGAAGTGGAAGCGCGGGTCACGCCGAGCACGCGCCGTGGCCACTCTCCCCGCGCAGGCGGTCCCCCTCGCTGGGGGTCAGCGGAGCGTCCTCTGTGTGTGTCCGGCGCTGGGGGTGCAGCGCGAGCTGCCGCTCCTGCCTTCCGGGCGGGCAGTCTGTCTTCCTGGGGACAGAGTGGCGCCGGAGAAACGTGAAGTAGACACAGCAAGCGGGTTGGGTGGGGATGAGTGGCGAGACACCCGGCCGTGACCGCAGGAGGGAGAAGGGACACCCCGCCGTCCCCTGAGGGCGGAGCGGACTCCCGTGCAGAGGGCTCCCCGCCGAGCTGAGCCCGAGTCACTGGTAGAGTTTAAGTGAGGGGCCAGGTGGAGAGCCTTCTAGGAAAAAAACAGCCACTACTTGGGGCGGGAATGAGTGTGCCGTGTGCTGGGAGAAGGAAGGGGCCACGGCGTGGGGGCCACAGTGTGGGGGCCGCGGGCAGGCCTGGGCGGGCAGGAACCGGTAGCAGAGGGGGAGACAGGCTGCGGGCGGCCGCCTTCTCGCCGGGTGGGTCCTCCCGTGCTCTTTCCTCCAGGCACACACGCCCCCGAGGCTCCCCCTCCCCGTAGGAGGACACCAGTCCTGCTGGCTCAGGGGCCCACCCCTGCGACCTCTTTAACCTGGGTGACTTCTGTAAAGGCCCCCTGTCCAAACACAGTCACATGGGGGGAGGGGCTTCAACATTTGAATTTAGGGAGAGAACACAATTTAGCCCATAACAGAGTATAAATTATTGTTATCTTACGCCACTGAGTTTTGGGGGTGATCTGTATGTATCAGAAGACAACTAACACTTACTTCATCACTCGTGTGGGGGGAGGTGATGTGAGCCAATGAATCCATGCACTTGAGTTGGTTCTTAAACCTGGCCGTCTGTCCACGGAATCCGTCTCCAAGATTCCGGGTTTTCCTAGGATTTGGAAGGAAATCTCGCACCAGTCTTTCAAGATTGTTATTTGGAATAAGGACCCTTTTAAAAAAAAAAAACGGGAAAGCACGTTTAAAACCTAGAACTGCTTGAGATCGCTGGCCGTCGAGGAGCCGTTGAAGGTGCCGGGTGCACGACTGTCTCAGACTCCTGCCTCCCCGTCTGAAGCGTCGAGGGACGGGCGGCCTAATAAGGTCTCGGCGTTAGAACTGTCTGCCCAGAAATGGCCACGCAACAGCCGCATCGCCTGTGACTCACAGCAGATTAGATGTTGTAAAAATAGTTTGGGGAGAATTTCCCCTCGGGCCCCGGGGGGGGGAGCTGCGGGGACTGGCCATCACGAGGGCAGACAAGTGTTGCCCGGGGGCCGGGGAGACTGGCGGGGAAGCTCTGTCCCCTCCCCCCCCCCCGGGCTGGGCTGTCCAGGGAAGGTGTTGTCATTGGCTCTGGTCCTGTGCTGCCGCCCTGCAGGCGCCGCGACCCCGTGACCCCGCCGTCGGAAAGTAGACCGAGCCCAGACCAGAGAGGCGCCCTCGGCTGGGGGCTCCCCCTTCTTTCCGAGCAGTGCCCTGGCTCTGTGTGGGGGGGGGTTCCTGTTTATTCTGTCCCTGGGGGGTGGGTGAGCTCCAAGGAAAGGACGTTGGATCTTTTTGCCTCAAGATTTTTTTTTAAAGAAGTATTTTTTGAAAGATTTTATTTATTTATTTTTGGAGACAGGGGAAGGAAGAGAGAAAGAGAGGGAGGGAAATATCAACGTGAGAGAGAAACCTGGATTGGTTGTCCCTCGAGCGTCCCCAGCCAGGGACCTGACCCGCAACCCAAGCATGTACTGTGACTGGGAATCGAACCTGTGACCTTCCAGTTTGTGTGATAATGCCCAACCCACTGAGCCACAGCAGTCAGGGAAAGACTTCTCTAACTTGATAAGTGCCCTGCCTCTGTCCCCTCCCGGGAAATCATTTGTTCCACAGGTTCCTAAGACCCTGCCACGTGCCTGGCACCACACTGGACACTCGGTGATGGCTCAGCTGTCCCTGCCCACATGCGCTTCCCAGCAGGCAGTGAGGCCTGAAAAATCAGGGCCCTGGGGCTGGCATGTCAGGGGGCACCCCCCACCTTGTCACTTCTAGGTCCCAACCTGACAGAGAGGGGTCTGTTTCCAAAGACATACAGGTCCCAGGGCCGTGCCCTCAGCATGACTGTGGTCACAGGGACACAGATGTGGGTAAAAAAGGAAGTCAGCCCTGGCTGGGGTGGCTCAGTGGACTGAGCACCAGCCTGCAAACCACAGGGTCACCGGTTCAATTCCCAGTCATGGCACAGGCCAGGTTGTGGCCAGGTCCCCAGCAGGGGGTATGCGAGAAGCAACCACACACGGACGTTTCTCTCCCTCTTTTTCTCCCTCCCTTCTCCTCTCTCTAAAATAAATAAATAAATAAGTAAAATATTTTTTTAAAAAGTCCGTTTCCTTGATGGATGGAACCAATGCCTCTCGAGGTGGAACTGGCGGTTAGGACAGTCGCCACCTCAGGATTCCTGCGACGCTGCCACCCTGGAGGAGTGGCCCTGCCTTCGCCTGGGAGGGGCCGCGGTTGAGATGCCCGTGTCCCATGACATCAGGGCGGCCCCTGGAGTCGATCCTGGCTAACACACAGCAGCACCCCTCCTGGGGGGCGGAACACACCACGACCACTGTCCCCCTAACGTGGGCGGACGGCGTGGCGGACGTCACCTCCATGGGAGACGGGCTGGACCGCCCCGCTCCACACACCGGTCACGACTCCTGAGAAGCTGGGGCGGACGCCAGCCTGCAGAGGGTCCCCGCGTGCGTGTGAGGTGACGGCGCGGACGGAGAGTGTGCACAGCTCCCTCCAGGAGGCGGGTGTGAAGAGGCGGCGGAGTGAGGGCTGGGCGTGACTCGAGCTGCTGATGAAAGGGCTCACAAGGTCCTGAACCTCGGGCCCTCTCCGCTCGCACCTCCGTGCCAGGAAGATGGTGTTCCCTTTAAAGGATCGCCGGGAGGGTCCACCGCGATAACCTGCGTGGAGTCGCCCAAGGTCCAGAGCTAGCAACACCAACGTCAAGATTTGGCTCTGGCTGGCGTGGCTCAGTGGATGGAGCGCCAGCCTGAGAGCCAAAGGGCCGCTGCATCGATTCCCAGTCGGGGCACAGGCCTGGGTTGTGGGCCGGGTCTCCACTAGGGGGCGCGTGAGAGGCAACCACACATTGCTGTCTCCCTCCTTTTCTCCCTCCCTCCCTTCTCCTCTCTAACAGTAAATAAATAAAATCTCAAAAAAAAAGAAAAAAGGTCAAGATTTGAACCAAGGTGATTTAGCTCCCAAATCCCCATTCTTGGCATAGTTTCCTACCCGCTCCAGCTAAGTCTGAGCGTCTCAGCCTAACACTTGCCCACGTGGGCCCCGTTCAGGGCTGGCACCCTCAGGCCCACGGGAATTAAAATTTCATTCATACACAGCCACGCTCGTGCCTTTCCGCGCCTCCTGTGACTGTGCCCTGCTGCGACAGCACAGGTGAGTGTCGGCCGCAGAGACCGAGTGGCCGGCAGAGCCTGACAGGTTTCCTGCCCGGCCCTTTTTCGGAAAACCGTTCCCTCCCCTGTGCCGGAGCTTCCGCCCAGGGAACGGACGGGGCCGCCCGTGCAAAGCAGCAGAATGAGACGGGTCCCCAGGAAGGCGAGAGGCCAGCCGTCGGGCGGTGCCCCACCGCAGACGCAGAGCAGGGTCCTTGGGGGTCACACGGGAGATCGGTCATCCGTCCCGCCCCCGAGGGACCCTGGCCATGAAGCTGGCCAACTCGCAGCTCGTCCCGGAGAGCTAGGGCGGAGGATGCATGGTCTTCCCACCCTCGGGGTGCGGTGAAGCCGCACAGGCCACTGGCCCAGTGGACCGAGGACGTCCGGAGCAGTGCGAGGTTCAACCCCCGTGGGTAGGGAAGGGGTGCAGACTAGACGTAAGCCCACAGATCAGTGTCACGGG